GTACAGTGCTCTGAAAGGGGGGCTGGAATTCACACTGAAATTCTCCAGCATCTCCAGATATTGTTCCACCCCACCTCCCAGTTTTATGCCATCCTCCATAACAGTTGGTGCCTGAGTCTCTGTTATCTTTAAGGGAGCCAATAGGGAGAAAGAGCTGTGTTTGTGCTTATTGACATCACCTGTGTTGTACCAAGCTTATTAGATTGAGGAGAGGCAGAATAACAAAGCAGAAACAGCACAGACCTTACAGTCAGAGAAGTCTAGGCTTCCATCCTAGCTCTATCCCTCTCTAGGAAAATGACTCACTGAGTAACCTTACATGAGTTGTTTTACCTCTCTGAGCCTCGGTTTCTTTATGTCTACTCTAGGGATAATAACAGTGTTACTTCATAGGGGTGTTGTGAAGATAAAATGAGATAATTTCTGATAAGCACCAGTATAGTACTCCAGATATGTGGTGGCTTTTGTTATACATGTGACTCAATGAAGATAACACTGCACCGAAACATTTCTGACAGACATCCTTGGGAGGGGCCTTCTTATTTTTAGCTGTTCTCATTGTTGAAGTAATCACTCAAATCAATATTTTCTAATTGCCTCAGAGAAGAGGGCTTTGTGCAGACCACATGATAAAGGTGTTCTTTATAGAGCTAGGTTTTTCCTTTATTACATTACTGGTCGGTGTGAGCACAGATTCAAGGACCCAAGACTAGGGACATTATCTAAGATTTTATGGCAGTGAGATTCCATTATCTTTTACTATGCTGTACTCATAATTGACATGTTATGATAATTGGGCATTTTATGATACTTGAGGAAAAAATCAGCAGTGTAGAAATAATATTTACTGAAATAAAAAAAATAATAGAAGAGCAGGCACAATAATTATACCAATAAGAGGTGGGGGTTGGGAGGGAGGTGGAAAACAGGGACTCTTACACTGGACAGGTGGATTGTGTCTTAAATGAAGCATTAAGGAACTCTGAAATTTTTTGCTGATAGCCCAGAATGCAAACTTCATCAGTATAAATGTATGGTCAGCTTAGTGGGAAGTGGCTTCAAGGTGCTGCTTAGAAACAGGTATGCAGAGTACAGTGTCTGAGACAGAAGACTGAGGATATGAGCATGTATAACAGGAACTCTTCGCTTAGATGGATGAAGTCCTCTGCGCTCTCTTCTGTGAGGGCTTTGCAAGCTAACTGCGCAATTGAGAAGGGTGCCAAGAAGACCAATGAAAATGTCTGAACACTTTAGAAATCCATTCCTGTTTACACAGCCTGAAGAAGGCAAGGCTGAGCAATATCTCCAAAATGTGAAGGGGATATAGTTGTGGTGATACTAAGCTGCTAAGCATCTGTTGGCTATATCAAAGATACTAAGCTGCTAAAAATACAAGAGACGGGACTTTGCACTGTGACATGAGAGAGTTAGGCTAGACCGCAAAAGAAATGACCTAGAGCAAAAGTTGAGAAACTAAAACATTTATTAAACGGAATTTGAATGTATTTACTGGTTGTACTTGGAGAACATTAAAGTTAATTTAATTCCATGCTTTTAGTTACCAGTAAGTGTAGTAGACAAGATTTCTCTTTTCTTCTTTCCACATTCTCTTTCTTTTTGATTCAGATCTCCTGAGATCACATTTGGCCTACATTTATCCCAGTTGATACTATTATTGAAAAATGGCAAACTTTCCTTTTAAACATACATCTTTTTAAAAAAATTGAGGTAAAATTCACCATTTGAGCCATTTAAAAGTATACAATCTGGTGACTTTTACTATATTCACAATGTCGCACGACCATTGTCACTATCTAGTTCCAGAACATTTTATCACCCCAAAAGAAAACACTGTACCCATTAACCACTCACCACCTATTCTCTCCTCCTCTTAGCCCCTGAAAACAACACATATGCTTTCTGTCTCTATGGATTTACCTTAGGAATATATAACTTTTGGAATCTTCTAAATTCTGCATTTAATTTTTTAACTAGAAACTGTAAACTACTGTGTGTTTCTATATGTAAGAAAAAGAGAAAGAGAGAGATTGCAATAAAAGTCAGCATTCATGAGAAACTTTGCAAGTTCAAATCTATTTGAAATATTCAAATTATATAACTTTTGGAATCTTCTAAATTCTGCATTTAATTTTTTAACTAGAAACTGTAAACTAGTGTGTGTTTCTGTATGTAAGAAAAAGAGAAAGAGAGAGATTGCAATAAAAGTCAGCATTCATGAGAAACTTTGCAAGTTCAAATCTATTTGAAATATTCAAACAAAATGAAGACCTGGGAGGATACTTACCTTTCAATTAGATGTCTATAACTTAAAATGGGCATCTGAACTTAAATCTCTCAAAGGTCTGGTAAGTCATAGGTTATAGAAGTATCAACGTTTTTGAAATTTGCCTGTAACATTGAGAAGACTTTTAAATGGAAATGCGGCATTATAGCTCCTAAGTTAGGGTAAAAACTTTCACACCCAGTAGAAGCTCTGTCCTGGATCTGAGCTCTTCCTGTAATAGTTAGTGATAACCCTATTATTTTTTTTCTTTGGAGCAGTGGAATAGTGACCATTCATTATTCTGCCTTTGTCTTCGTGAGCACATCAGCTACAGCAGAGGAAACTGAAGATGCCTGGCGGGTAAGTGTAAAAGCAACCTAAAATAAAATAATAAACCCCCTTTTATTTTCCAACCATAAATAGTTATCAATTTTAAATTAGAATATACATTTTATTCTGGCTGCAATTTTTTTAAAAGTTGGTTAACCTATTTACAAACTTTTAAAAATGTTGAAATGAACTTGAAAATTATCTCTTTTTGTAAATTCACTTAAAACTTGCATGGCTTTCTTAGTTGTAACTACATTGACAGGAAAATTGTGTACTCTGTGTTCTGGAAAAACTACATATGACTTTTAGAAGAAATCTTAATTTTCAAGTAGTTGAATGTTTTCTCGGAAGGAGGAAGAACCAGTACTGTCTTGTGATTTAAGAGATGCATTGTAATCTAGAATGTCAAGGCTTGAGAGATGTCTGTCGTTTTACATTTTGTTTGTATTTTGAGGATTTTTATTCCATTTTCATTTTCAATTCCTTTCCATTAGATGAGCTCCTAGTAATATATCTTGACATTAGGATCTAGGATTCCTCTGCCAAACCTCTAATACCTCACTGGTTTTGATGTTACAAATCTTGCTTGTTTTCTTTTCCGAGTATCTTTCCTATTTGTTTCAGTGTAATCTCCCATCTGTTCTTTTCACCATTCTCTGTTTTGACTTCTGGGGACTTGTTGGTGACAATGGAGAGCAGAGACTCCATATCACATTTTGACGTATACATGGACTTAGCTACTATTTCCATAAATAATTTCCAGTGTCCAAATTTTTTTTAAACCTACGTAACCTCCTTTAATCTACCTGGAAGTTGGAGACTGCATAACACTCCTTCTTATGACATGTGATAATTAATGTAAAGCACTTGGAGGTCCTTGTTGCTGAGACACGCTGTGGCAAATGTACAAAAGTACCATTATCCTTTGTGCCTGCGTGAGGACCTATCAACAAAATTCACCTCTGATAAGAGATGGCCACAATGTGGAGGGATCTACCCGTTCCCTCCTTCCAAGGTCCCTCATCTGAGTGTACTTTGGTTCACTTCTCAAGGATGTATGGATGCATGAGCGTATTCTGTAACTTCAGCAGACATACCAAAACTTCTCCGACTGAAAAGAACTCGAAAGTGTTGTGTGAAAGGGAAAAAGTGAGCTTGAAAAGGAAAAAAGCAGTTAACAGCAGTAAACTGTAAATCCCCTATCTCTGTTCTCCAGACCACATCCCAACCGAATCCAGCCGCACCCGCCCTAGACCTTTGGGGCTCCTGATTGAGAGTCCAGATACAGGGCATATATTCACGCGTGGTTCCCTTCACTGCTGGGTGTCAGTCTGGCCCGTGCTCGAGGTGTGGACTCTGGTTGGAGTTTCAATGTGTAGGATCCACTCCCCGGGTTTGGGAGAGATTGAGAAGGGTAAGGTAACGAGAGGGCTAAAGGGCTTGTATGCCACAGGGGTTTCGGCACAGCGGGGGAAAAGTGGAGAAGTCACCCACCTGGGGTACTTTAGAGTCATTCACCTGCCCCTCCAGGAAGCCACCGCATGGCTTTACCTGAGCAGGGACAGACCCAGGAACACAACTGGGATAACCGGTATTCCTGGTAACTGCCTGTCAGATGCTGGGGCTTTGGAAGGGGAGGCAGGGAAGGGACGCCTGCGTGGGGGCGGGGCGAGAGGGGACAGAGGGAGAAAGGAGGGTGAGGGGCTGCCGGGCCGCCGCCTCCTCGCTGTCTCTCCGGGACGGATCTGGAGACCGAGTTCGGGGCTGGGGCTGGTCCCTAACTCGCTGCGGGACTTCGCCTTTCCAAGCCTCCGTCTACTCTTCTGAAGCGGGCTGGACTCTGATCTCGGCGCCCCCTTCCTGCCCTTTGATTCTGGTTCTTTGAGCCCCGCTTCGCGATCCTGGGAAGGAAAGACATTCTCTGCCGCAGGCGGGCCGGAATGGGAGGGCCAGGAAAGCGGCATCTGTGACATGGATTATATTTATTTAAATACCTAAGTAAAAATTATTTTCGTTTAAAAAAAAAAAAAAAGACTCCGACTCCGCAAGCTCGGGCTGGAGCTTTGAGCGGCCAGGTAGCCGATGCAAAGTGGTTCCCTCCAGCACCTGCCGCTTCGTTTGGCTCAAAAGTTCTCCACGCCGCCCCCGCAGAGCCCTCGCACCTTCCTCCCCTTCCCAGCGCCCCCGGCCGCCTCGACACCCCCCTGGCGGCTTCCCGGAGGGGGGACTAGCGGCCAGTGGAGCTGGCTGAGGCGGAGGTCCCCGGAGGCCGCGCAGCTTGGTTTTGATCGGCGGGACGCTGGCGCCCCGGGCGGGCGACTCCTCCTGGGCAGGGCGGGAGGCGGCGCGGCGCGCAGGGTCGGCAGGAGCCAGGCCTCGCGCGGCTGGGACGCCCGGCCGCCCCGAGAGGGAGGGGCTGCGGGATCGACGGCGGGGAAGCTCCGCCCCCGGCGCGGTATAAGTGCTGGGCCCGGCCCGCGGCGGCCGCAGGAGCTGGTTCTGGGGCGCCCGGCTGGGCTCGGCGGGCCTGTTGCGCTTCCCACCTGCTTCCATAAGGCTTTGCCTTTCCAACTTCAGCTACAGTGTTGGCTAAGTTTGGAAGGAAGACAAAAAGAAGACCCGGGGCCGTTTTCTTCCTCTTATCTTGCCGTAGTAGTCGTTGGGGTCTTCTTGCACAAGGTGGCTGTGTTTTTAGCGGTGCTATCTCCAGTTCCTTGCACTCCTGTTAATAAGCTCCTCGGCAAGAGCAGCAGCAGCAGCAGAAGAAGAAGAAGAGCAAGCGGGGGTCTCCTGGTGTCATGACCAAGGCAAGAGATCAAAACCGCCAGGGAGGATGCTGTGGTGAGTTGTGTTGACCGAATGTTTGCGGTGGAAACACAGGTTGGGCGTTGGAGACAAGCAACTCCACACAGGTTTTGGAGGAACGTGGCTCCTCTACTAAATGCTTTGTAAAAGCTCCTTTGAATCATGTTTTAGTGAGGGTTAAAGAAAAAGGGAAATTGAAGGTGTGGGAAAAGTGGTTTGCACACAGGCAAGGATGAAATAGACTGGGCAGTTTGGTTTGCCTTGTGTAAAAAAAATAGTTAAAGCATGTTGAAATAAGAGTTTCTTCACAGTTTGTGAAGTTATGCAGTTATTGACCAACAGGTCATGCTGAACTGAAGTGAATGGTATTAAGTAAACTAAATGCATTGGTTCGTAGGTGACTTGATAAAGTGAACCACGCAGTAGTTTTTAATAATCGTGTTTTATTAAGAGCAAATGGGCAAGCATTCTAACCTCAGCTCATTCAACTGACTAATTTGCTTTTTATCATCCCTCCTGTGTCTCTTTGCAGGATCCTTAGAAAACTACCTGACATCTGCAAAATTCCTTCTCTACCTGAGTCATTCTCTCTCTACTTGGGTAAGTGAAAATGTATAGTAATTCTTCCAGCATAGTTGCACAATTTCTTATTTTCTTTCATTAGGGCCAAATGCAGGAAGCCAATTTCCAGTTTTGTCATGCAGTTAAAGAAATCATCCAAATACACATGCTAAAAAACGAAAAAAGTTATTTTCACCAAAGATATTCTCCCATGAGTGTTAGTGAATGCTATTTAATTATCAAGTTATCATACTTTGTGTAGATTGGCAACTATATAAAGATAGGATTAACAAGAACAGGAATATTTGAATTGTTTATAAAGGTATATTTTATTACTAGGCTTAGTAAATGGTCATATCTGCTACTAAGAATGGTTGGATGTCTCATATACCTTCTATTCTTTCACATTTTAAGGTATTTTTCTGTTGTCTTTTGTTAAAATTTAGTTCCAATATGCAGCACTATGAAAATACAGGAGAATGATGGAGTGATTGACTTAGGTTAATAATAACATTCTAATAGTAATTTAAATATAAATGACCCCAAGAACACATATTTGAATGACAAAAATCCTGTTTTTTAAAAATGTTATCTGTAGTTAGATAATGTGTGGGGCATTGCAGGCTATCTTAAAACCATCACCCAGTGAAAATCAGCAACTAATTCACAATTCTCCCTTCTGCTCCCTGCCATGTATGTGGTCTTTGAAGAGTCCTGGTGTTTCCATGGGTTCTCATCAGCTCCCCACAAAAAGGAATAATCCCAGAATGGTGCTGGTGTGTGTTTAATTTATGATGAGTTGAATCTTTAAAATGAAATAATTGTTCTTATTGTTTAAAAGCAATAAATCTGAGTATATTCTGTTCATGCTTCATATATGATACTTTAAAAGATCCATAAATAAGGAAAAAGAATTTTGAGAGTGAATTTTTTGAATGTTATTTTCTTTTTAAATTGGAAGATTCCATTGAGTCATCCTTAAGGAATGAATGGAAATCATGTATGAAGAAATCTATACCCTAAACCCTTGGGTAATTTATTAAGCTGGGTTATTGGCTCTCTAAGAAACAATTCATAGATGACTTTTTAGAAAAACAAGCTCCTATCTTCCCTCAGACTTACGCAGGGATGACTCTGCAAATATGTGTAAACAAAGTGGAGCTGGTATGGGTTTGTTTCAATTCCAATAGGCGATGATTCTAAGTAGAAACCATTAATAAATCTAAACCAATAATTTGTTCTAACAATTCAATTCAGAAGGTATTAAGTATTAAAAAGACCAATAACAAGTGATTGAAATAGTATCTGAAATTCTCAGCCTGTGGTCTGGGCCTAGCTCTTAGAGGAAGAAGGTGCCTCACTTCCAAATACTGATTCAGTTTAAGGTTTATGTGACCTTTGGTTATTAGGTTGGAAGGCCAGATTTGCCAAAAAATAAAAACAAAAACAAAAACACCAAAAAAGGAACTATGGTTATTTGAGGAGAATTTTTTGTCATGTTAATTAAAAGTTCCACAAGAAAGTTGACAGATACTTATCCTAATTTTACAGTAAGTTGAGCAAAGGGAATTCTTGTGAGAAAGGTGGATTTAAAAAACAATAGCAACTATAACCATATAAGGTTTAGTGGATTTTTACTTCTCACTGCAAAGGAGTGCAAAAGAGGAATGCCTTCTAACACTAGGTAATTCTGCTTTTTGTCTCTGTGTGGCACTCTGCCTGATTTTATTACAACCGAATATATATGTTTATGTATACATATATGCATATCTATCCATTCCACTGCCAACCTTGCCAAATTATGATTTCCTACATTCTGAACATAGGGGCATTAGGGTAGAAGGTTATCTCAGGTTAGGTTTGTGTGAGGTGGAATGCTTTCTATTTCTGAATTCACTTCTGTCTGCTGAAGGATCAATACATTTTACTCTGTACTATCAGAATACAAAGTAGTGTAAGAAGTAGATCCTGTTGTCAAGAAACTTGTAATATTATTTAATATGGACTTTAAAAAATGTATCTAATTGTGAAAAGATAATGGTATAAGGCAGTGAAAAAGAGGGGCTAGTTGCTTATATTTATGTTATTATCCTATGGATTGACTCCATCGATACCCCCCATTGTGTCTGCATCTCTCCAGCCCTCACTTCCCATAGGCCTCACTTCTCTGCTCATAGAGGCCTTTGTCACTACTTCATACTAAATGCTACCTTCCAGCCCCATCTTACTTTATTTTTCCTCACGGCACTCACCATCACCTGACCTGTGCAAGATTTGTTTTTGGTTTCTGCTCCCTGGAATGCAATCTGCATGAAACATGGACCATGATCCTTTGGCACCATAGAAGTTCTAGTGCCTGCAATTGTGTCGGATACATAGTAACTGCTCAATAAGTATTAAGTGGATTGATAACCTTGATCAATCATTCACAGATACTCAGTTGTCCTTCAGCTCTCAGTCCAATGGGGGTAGATAGACATGTAAACAAATCATCAAAGTGTGGTGGGAGCATGCAGGAGGGCAGGGAATGGAAGGAAGGAAGGAATAGGTGGGTTTGAAACAAGGAAGGATTGGGAGGGCACTTGGTCAGTGTTTACTTAGACTTTAGCCAATGCTTGGGCTTTTAGTAAGCATAGAATCTATATTTTTTTTAAGGCCTAAACCCTTTGGAAATTGGGGTAACTAGAGCAATTTTATCCTTCTCCATTAAGGAGATGGCATGCTATACAGGAATAAGCAAGAGAGAAAACTTCCATTTAATAGCACTTGTTTTGATGGCCTGCTTTAGAGGACTCTAAACCAAGTTCTTTTGGGAAGAAAAAAAAGAAAGAAGCAGCATATTATAATAGTATTTCTTAATCCTTATGTTAAGAAAGAGAAAATCCACTCACAGAGGCAGCCTGTCATTTGGACCATGTATGTGTTTTTGTCTTTTCCTTAGGAGCTATTCAGAGGAATGGAGATTAGGATAAAGTATCTACCTCCATTCCCCATCCCATTTTATTCTAATCAAATCTAAATTTGCTTTTCTTGTTAAAGATTGACAAAATAATTTGCAATTCTTATTGACATCTTTGTCTCAATATATAAACTTGTCTTTTAATTGGTTTCAAATTATATGTGTATTAACAAATTTTTAATTATTTAGAACACTGGTGTTTGAAACTGAAACAACTGCTAATTGATTTAAGTGAAAAATCTTCCTATTATCAAAACAAACATTAAAAAAGATGTCTCAGAAATATTAATTGTGATACTGATTATCCTCAAACTTCTTATACATTCATGGAATAAATCTAATGTACCAGAACAGTATAGTTGATAAACCGATCTAGGTTTTTGTCACATATCCTATATTTACTTACTCTACATCTGAGATCCATTGCACATCCACTCCTTTGTTGGTTCCTCAGTTACTTGTTATGCACCTGCTCTGGGCTGTGCACTGTGCTGAGGGTTCAGGGTGTTCACATTGCAGACCATCAAGTGAGAATCAGTCTTTCAAACTTGGTGCTAATTACTTACAGTGTTTTAATGTTTATGTGACCATATCTACCCCATCTCCCAAGGTTCTAACCTTATGTTAATTTTGAGTTTGGGTTCAATATTATATTCTTAATCCTCTACACCAAGGTTTTGAGCGGGATAATTCTTTGTTGTGGGGTACTATCCTGTGCATTGTAGATGTCAGAAGTATCTGCCTCCTTCATCCCCCTGCAATTGCAACAACCCAGATAACTCTAGGCATTGCTAAATGATCCTTGGAGGGTAAAATCACTCCCAGTTGAGACCTGCTGCTCTATATGAAGTTTATTGTAAATGATTGCTAGTATGCATCAATTTAAGTTTTGAGTGTCTAAGATTGTTGTTTTGGCTCTATTAAATTTTTTAAATCACTTGACCAGCGAGGATAGCACTTTCCTTCCAATATATGAAATTTATCATGAAGATGTTAACAGACTTTAGGAAGAACTAGGAGTGTAAGTAGTTCCACATATTGTCAAATCTATAAGGAACCCGGCTTGGGAATTTCCTGTAATGATTTCCAGAGATACATTATGATAGAACATTATTGTCCTTCTATATGTTAACCTCAGAAGTCAGTATTGGAGCCTAACCTCTCGTTATAGATTTCTTATATGTTAATTTACCTGACTCAGAAGTTTCTGTTAAAGTTACACCACATTTTGCAGTAATGAATTCCAAAATTCCCTATGTACTCAGGATTCTGTGTGAAGAAATAAGTAGTTTTAAAACCCATCAATACTAAAATGTTAAAATAACTACTTATATATTTAGGTTTATTTCTAACATCTTTGTTCATACAGTGCCAGAATTTGCCCTTATTGATTTCCTCTCTTTGATTGCTTTGCTGTTTTATGACTTTGAAATTTATTAAATAGAGCATAGATTTTAGAATGTTACAGGTGAAAAAAACTCTAGAGATCATATAGTCCATACCTATGATTTTATAAATTGGGAAACTGGCTTTTTTTTTTTGGCATTCAAGGTATACTGATATTTGTGAACTGTACTGTAATATAATTCTGCTCTAGAGATCATATAGTCCATACCTATGATTTTATAAATTGGGAAACTGGCTTTTTTTTTTTTGGCATTCAAGGTATACTGATATTTGTGAACTGTACTGTAATATAATTCTGCTTCATTAGCAAACTACTTTATGCCTCTCAAATCAGGTTAGGCAAATTCCAGGCCCAGGGATGACCTGGCACACAAGAGAACAGGTTATGTCTCAAAAAGCTATCTTGGGTCTGGAAACTACATTTTTTTCTAGAGTGAAAAGGAACATGTGTGTTTCATTAATATCATGCTTTTTCAAGTTTACTTAGTAATTGGGCAAGAATATTTTCCATTGTGCTGGGATGAACAGTTTTAACATATGACTAGTATTCAGTCTGTAATTATTGACTTTGAAAGTCTCACAGTGTAGCCAGAAAATACCCTTTTGATAAAGAAACAACTTCCTGAGTACAATTGACAAGAAACTAAAAATGTTTCATCGAAACATTTTCTTTTCTCATTCAAGGGAGATCGGATGTGGCACTTTGCAGTGTCTGTGTTTCTGGTAGAGCTCTATGGAAACAGTCTCCTCTTGACTGCAGTCTACGGGCTGGTGGTGGCAGGGTCTGTTCTGGTCCTGGGAGCCATCATTGGTGATTGGGTGGATAAGAATCCCAGGCTTAAAGGTGAGTGTTGTTATGTAACTGAGCCTTTGTATTCAAGAGACTGGTGCCTGAGCTAGCTCTGTAACAGAGGGAACAACAAACTAAGAGAGAAACCTTTGTGACTAACCCATTGAGGTCTGCACACCCGAGGGGCTTCAGTGGCAGCATCTCTGGATTGAGGGTTCTGGGGCTCCTGTACAAAGTTGGGATGCCAGGACATTGACCTAATACATTTTTTTGTGTCTTTGGCTGTTCACACATTTCAAATGTTAATGATTAACATTGTAGCACTTTTCTGAGAACAATGTTAAACATTAAAATTTGCTTAACTCTGGCTTCCTTTCTAACCATGACATGCACTGGAATCTTTTCAGTGTGATGTTCCTGGGATGGTTTTAACATCTGTCCTCTGGGTGTGTGTAAAAGAATTGAAGACTCAGTATAGACTCAAAGAACTGTAGCTGAGCCTGGATCACAGAGAGCTAAATTATAATTTTTTTAGGGAAAAAGAAGAAATAATAATATATTGACATTTATTCTAGAACATTAATGCTGAAATCATTCTGTTTTACGCAGGAAAGAGAGAAAGTGAGCAGTTCAGTTATTCAGAATATATGGGCAATGTGGATAATCATTCAGGATAAATTTTTCTTTATCAGTTGATAATACCACAAGACCTGGCCATGTCTGTTTTAGATGTTGGGGAAGGATTGAGATATCATTAGTTCCTTTCAGTGCAGAATGACTGCTCCTGGATACAGAGAAACGGGATTGTCAAATTCTAGGACTTGATACTACTAGTAAGATGGTGAAGATGAACATTTTTGTGTTTTGAGAATAAGTAGACCAGAACACATACAGAAAAAAGTTCTGTATCCTAGAAAAAAAATCCTAGTTATTTACATCATTATATGTAGGGACATAGGACTATTATATGTAGAAACCTTTAACCTTATGATTGTTGAGCACTTCAGTGATAGGTTAGGAAAGAATGTTGAGTTGGAGGAAGAGGAGTATGGTGGGATAGCAATCTCCCACTTACTTTACATAATCAACTCGTGTCACCTTACATGAAAAATATTTGCTGGTGTCTCTAGGCTGAGTTCACCCCTTCTTCCTCTGTGCTCCCATGAGGCTTTGTTAATATCTCTGGTATTGCTCTTATAGTTCACATATCTTTTCTTCTTCTGGTCTGTGGGGTCCTGAAAGCTAAGAATCTCGTCCGGTTGATATTTAATCCTTGTGCAATGAATAAATGCATGAATAAATAAATGAATGAATGAGTTACATGTTTGGATTTTATTTCAGACTTTCAGAAAGCAGTTTGTTTTGTCTTGAGTCTTTGGTATGACCTTACAAGCCAGGGTGAGCTTTACTATCCTTGAAGGCAAGAGCTATAATTATACTTTACATATGCAACTCTCTGTATTTCTCAAAGTGCTTTCATAAGTATTTTATTTGAGCATCATTATGACCCCATAAAGTATGAATACAGGTGTTACCATTCTCACCTTTTAGACATCGGTGTAAGAGACATTAGGTATCCTGCCCTAGTTCATCTACCTAGTGAGTAACAGCAAAAAGACTATCAGGTGGCCTTTCCTGTCCTTACTCCAGCACTTTGTCTACATTGGCGCTTCACTCTAAGAGAATTGGCATTTTCTGTGATGGAAGGTGTAGCTTAGGATTTTGTAGCAATGGCAAATAGACTTAGTATGTCAAAAGAAATACACAGCTTCTTTATTCATGGCAAACTTTTGCTTTTCTTTCCTTTTTATCTATACTATCTTATCAGATTTAGCCTACCATGTAGGAAGTTATGGGTTCCATAACTTCCTCCTTATCCTCCTTCATAACCTTCTACATGTTCTTCTTTTAACTTAAGCAACAAAGAGCCGAAAGATGGATCTTATCTGTGTAATAGTTCTGTTTATGATTGTAAACTTTCAAGAGAATAAATTAAATGAAAATATTCTTATTATGCAAGACTTCAACTGACAGAAAAAAATTGCGGGTACTGCATCATTTTGTTTGCAAATTTTACTGGTCTAGTGTGATCTGGGTCATGCTGGGAATAGTTGAGGCAGGATTTACTTCAGGAAGATTTTTTTTTCTGGTGGTAATTATGCATATGCGTTTATATAGTAGAATAATGATGTATGGATAAAAACAGTCCCACTGAGACGTTTTGGTGTAGTGAACACTTTGTTTCTTCCTCTGTACAGTGGCCCAGACTTCATTGGTGGTACAGAATGTTTCAGTCATCCTGTGTGGAATCATCCTGATGATAGTTTTCTTGTATAAAAATGAGCTTCTGACCATGTACCATGGATGGGTTCTTGTAAGTTTCAACAAGATTCTTGGTGGCAGGAAATTGAATATCTGGTGGTGGTAAAGATGCAAATGCTTCGAAGCTCGGGAGCATTGTTTTTGAAAATGTGACCTTTTAATATTGATCTCTATGTCTACTATATGCCCTATAGTTTGTTCACTGTTTTTTCTATTTTGCCCATAACAGACACTCATTAACTATTGTTTGAATTTAAATTTTGTCCTGTTGGTATTTAATGGCATTTCTAATAGTATAATTCAGTTGTTAGTTTTCAGCTTTTTAGCTTTAGCTGAAAACTAAAAACTAAATTCAGTTTTTAGTTTTCAGCAATAATTTGTTCACACTATATAAGAAATATTATCCACATATATATTAATCAGCAGTGATTGTGTTCCTCCAATAATTGTTATTTCTTTTTGGGGATATCAGCTAGATAACTTCTCACACTATAACTTTATGATTGCTTGATGGAAAAGAGGAGAGGGATGGGGTCTGATGGAAAACAATGGATTTGATGTCACTGTTGAATCTTCTTGTGTATATTTGGATTGATATTATAGAATTTCACAGCCAGGTAGGACATTAGAAATCTTCAAGTCTAGTTGCTTCATTTTATTGATGAAAAAATTAAGACAAAGTGAGGTTAGTTGATTGCTCATTGTCATGCAACTAGAAAGTGTTGGAACTCTGACTTAAACACAGGTCTTCTCAATTCTCCTTCAGTGTTCTTTTTAAATGATATATTTTTGTGGGAGTAATATTAAAAACCACCACTGTGTTAACATCTTGTGATAGCTATGTCACGTAGATGTTCACATGACTATTACAATTTTTGTATTATTTGTACTAGAGATGATATAGATTAGGACAGTATTAGCCCTTTAACTCGACCATAGGTTTTTATTGTTTCATGCAAACATAGTAATATGATTTCTTTGTAAATGAAGTTAAGGTAAAAATTTTAGTATTATGCCACTAAAGACCATTTTAAGTAACGTTACATATAGTGAGGTAGATACAGTGTGGTAATCTGACGTTTTAACCTAACTTTTCCTTGTAATTCCTTAGACTTCCTGCTATATCCTGATCATCACTATTGCAAATATTGCAAATTTGGCCAGTACTGCTACTGGAATTACAATCCAAAGGGATTGGATTGTTGTTGTTGCAGGAGAAGACAGAAGCAAATTAGCAGGTAATTTGGTTTTCTCTTTCATATAAGTGGGTATGTTGGGATTCACCTTAAATCAGTGGTAATAAATAAGGTTATAAGCCTTTTGTTGTTCTGGGTGTTTTTTAAGAACAATAAATTGAAAGCATAGTTTTTTTCTTATTATCAGACTTGGTGCCAAGATTTACCTCACTGTTATGAAGTTAATTGGTAAGATAATTAACTTTTCTTTTATTCTATGCAAACCTGGCAAATGGAAGAACATTTCTTTTGAACTTTTTGCTTTACTTTTTTAAAATTCTGTTAACTATTTCACTTAGACCAGTGAAACTCTGACATGAGACTTTACAAGTCATACCTATGGATATTATTACTGGTACTTATCAATCATGCTATGGATATTATTCTCTTCAAACTAAATGGAAACAACTTAATCATAGAAGAGACTCTAGAAATTAATTCCTTCTACTTTACAGTTATAATCTATAATCTTTATTACATTATGCATGATATAATTGCTATTACAAATTCTTAAGAAATAGAGGATAGAGTATAGATTTAAAGAAGCTTACAATTTTAGTTGTTCATTCGTTGTTCATTGGAAACATAGACAAGTGGCCAAGGAAAGACTGAAGAATGCTTACAGAGCAACATGTCCTATTACATCAATATTACTTGTGCCCAGAATAACCTCCCTCACTTGGTATTGTCTGCCTTCCCCCCATATAACACATAGACACAAATGGGATTGATTATACCGGGTAAAGGAAGAAGGGTACACCTGCCTGCCAGTCACAGCAGCTGAATCAACTCTGCTGGTCATTAAGATAATGGGTATTACCAACACATTACCCAACCATACTGACAGACAAGAAAACCATTCTTGATGACTTAAAGGGCTTATCCTAGGACACAGGAGGCAAGATTATGGGCTGCAGTTATCAAGCCGCTTTGTTCGAATGGACCATGTGGCTTAAGAAGGAAAGATAGAAAGGAGTGGTGATTGAAAAAGAACAAAGTCTGCAGAAGGTCTAGAAGAAAAGGAATTTGCTTGAATCATCACTTCGTGGTATTATAATTAAGATAAAAATACCACAGTGATTTTATAGGATGGTGTGCGCTTAGGGTGAATTTAGCACATGTGAGTCTGTACTGCAGGAAATTCTTTCTGGAGTTAAAGTTGTGATTCTCATTAATCTTCTGTGATCATTTATAGTAAGGAATAATTCCATGTCTCTTTGTTATATTGAACTAGAAGATAAGGCTTTGTCCTTTTTTGTTTACTTTCTCTTTCTAACATACTATTTTAAGTACATAAAATTTGTCTGTGTTTTAAAATTTAAAGTGCCCTACAAGAGGATATATTTTGAAAGTAGATTGCATATATATTTTCTGGAATATATTTGGGGAAAAATTGGCTTTTTAAATGATTTTCTTTCACTCATCTGAATTTCTTAACTCATTTTGACTCTGTAAAGTCTGTTAAAGAGAAAGTTACTCAGAATCTTTAACTTGTCCTAATATACAAATAAATAATAAATACAAAGATCCCACATAACTTTGGATCCCACATATTTGCCAGAAAGATCCCAAAAAGTTATGTGAGATTTCTGACTGTGAAGTGATATCTCAGAATAGCAACAGCAAAAATACGAGTGGCCATTTGTCAGCTGTCCCTCTTTATACTATGAATTATTGCAGAGTGGAAGAACCTAGGCCAACCAGTCTAGTTTTTTAACTTCTGGAGTTTCTTAAGTTTAAGAAAGGAAGTAAGCTGTCTGTTGAACTCTCGTTCACTGTTAGCTTTTCGTGAGTGGTGCTCTTTCAGTTCCAGCCAGCAATGGGGGTTAATAGTCTAGTGAAAGAAAACCTACGTGTTGGCTTTCCTGAAGTTTTAACCTTGGCATTTGTGTTAATTAAAAACCATGTTTCAAAACAGGATACAGAAACTTCTTTAGTTCTGAGGATCAGCAAGTGTCTAACCATGGATTTTTGGTGCCATTTTTTCTATAAGGCAGAGTTAAAGGAGAGCAGAGAAAAAGGAGGATAAAGGAAAAATAGAAGAGAGAAGGGGAAAAGTACACCTAGAAGGGACTCCAGCTGCTGCCTTGGGTTCCTGTGAGGTTGTGTCTCTGTACACAGATGCACCTACTCCAGTCAGGAATAATTTATGTTTACACAGGCTGATTTTTAATGTTGTTGGCAAAGACTGTCAGAAACCCAGGTAGGACACCGGACCAGAAGGCTTCACCTGTGTGTGTTGGGTATGTGTGTGCAGAGGGTGAAGGGGAAAGGATGTTTATGTAGAGAGTCAAGGGGTGAGATGGGTACTGATTGCTCCTATATCCTCATTCCAGTGTTTCTTGATTTCAGAGACCATTTTAAAATTGGAAGGTGTATCACTGAGGTTAAAAAACAGGAGCAGTTTTCCTTTGCAAAGTTAAAAAGTGTTAGAATTTTATTGGCATCCGGCCAAAATATTGCTGATAACCATCGAGTTTAGAAAGCTCCAGAAAAGTCATTGTTTTTGACATAAATCTTGTTAACTGATCTGTTCACTAATTAGGTACTTATCAGGTACTTGGTTTAGTATTTTATTAAAACATTCTCTTGTGCCATGAGCCTTAGCCTGTCTAACCAGTTTGAAACTCACTTCCTTTTCCCAGACTTTTTACTCCATCTATTGCTTTATTTCCTTCCCTATTTCCTATGTGGAGCACTCTTTATTAATATCTTCTGAGGTTTTTCTTGCCCACCGCTCTAATTAAAAATCTGCTGGTCAGCTTTATAAAGTATGGCAGATAAATTTCATGTTTGACCTCTATTGATTAAAAATTGATTTCATATTTGAGGTGGACAAACCTGCTAGCTGCTACAGTGTTTGCTCAGCAAATCTTTTCTTAAAATTATTTTTCTATGAGATGGAATATACCTTTTATAATAGAAGTAGTTATTTTAACTCATGTTCTGTGCCACAGCTGTAGTTGAAAACAGTTAAATTGAAATCAAATGAGCGCACATTTGTGTGTTTATGTAAGAATGAATATAAATTTGTAAAGAGCATATGTTTGCACATGCAGAAGACTGATTCTGTTCTAGCCTGTTGCCAGTAAAATGATTAGGTCTTTAAAAAAAAATTGTTTAATTCATTCTGCCTCCAAAAAATAAATGCTGTTTTTTTCTCATTGGTAGTAACACCTAAGTATTATTAACTTCCTAAGTATAGTATAAAATATAGAAATTGGTGACATTGGGAAGCTCCATGAGCACTTGAAAACTGAAGTAGTGAAAGAGTACCAAATAATTTTAATTAAAATAATTTTTTTGGTTGTTTTTCTGGGGCTTTTAGATCCAGGTATATATGTTCTTTAGTTACTTGGCTTTTTGGATTCTCAAATTAGTGACTTATCTGGGTCAATTCCACACTTCTCTGTTGGCATATGAGTTGGAAACTTATTATGGGGGCAGATGGAAGTTAGTGAAGCTTCCGCAAAGATGGTCATGTGTAAGATCAATGACAGCTGCCTTTGTCTCTCAAGTGAAAGGTCAAACATGTCAAAGTTCTCCTGTTATCATGTAAGCATTATGCATTCACAGAACTAATCAAAAAGTAATTGAGGACCAGGAAGAATTAGAGAAGGGATACAGGCAGTTTTCTTTTGATGTACTTATTAGTCATGTATTGCTTTTCCCCTTAAGGTGACCCAAATGAGTGTTGTCTCAATTTTTCACTCTGCTCTGTTGAGGTAGGGAATGAGAATAGGTCATTTTCTTAACTTCCTCTCCTTTATTCATCATGTCCTCTATTCTAACTCAGGTATACATTCCCATGGTCAAACTCTGGACCTTGTCATCACCGCTAAATCCTCCCCTTTCATAATCTCAGTCTTTGGCATCCATATCTTGAACTACCCCCTCCTATCATTCCAGCTCACTCCATCACTACCCTGGTCCCAACAATCCTCCAGCCTAGTTTGCACCTACAAGTCATTAATTTCACTGCCTTTTCATCTCCTCTCTTATCTCCCTTTCTTATCCAGCTTAATTCCAAGATCAGTCGTGATCACATGATCACCTCGTAGTGTATACCCTCAGCTCTCTCGGCCCCCTCTCCTTATATCACCTTATAAGACCTTGGTTAAGTCCAGCTCTCCACAATAGAACATGGCTGGAGAAAAACACATGACCCTGTTCAGTGTTCTCACTTGAAGTTCAGGGCCACTGGGGTCAAGTTGGCACTTTTATGCTGCCAGATGATCACACTGTTTTCTCTGGTTCTTCCTTCTTCTACTCTCCCCAAGGATTGTTTTACATTTTCTCCTCTCTTCTCACACATTCAGGACCTTCTCCCCCATCCTCACTTTCACTGATGACTTTGCTTTATATTTTATTGAGAAAATGGAGGAAATGAGAAGATAACTTCCATGTGCTCTCGTTATCACATCCCTTCCTACCTGTCTTCTCCTCACTTTCACTGATGACTTTGCTTTATATTTTATTGAGAAAATGGAGGAAATGAGAAGACAACTTCCATGTGCTCTCGTTATCACATCCCTTCCTACCTGTCTTCGAAGCCATAGACATGGCCTCCACTCTTGTGACTACTGATGAGTTTTTGTGCTCCTGTCTAAGAACTACTCCACGTATGCAGTAGAGTCAGATTACATCCCTTCTCATGTACGTGTCATTCTAGTCAACATGCAAACGTACACTCATTTGCTCTTTTTAAACATCCCTGTCTTTACCGCAGTTCTCCCGCTGCCACCCCATTTCTTTGTTCCTCTCCACGTATGCAGTAGAGTCAGATTACATCCCTTCTCATGTACGTGTCATTCTAGTCAACATGTAAACATACACTCATTTGCTCTTTTTAAACATCCCTGTCTTTACCGCAGTTCTCCCGCTGCCACCCCATTTCTTTGTTCCTCTTTTTTTTTTTTGTGACCAGTAAGGGGATCACAACCCTTGGCTTGGTGTCGCCTGCACCGCNCCACGTATGCAGTAGAGTCAGATTACATCCCTTCTCATGTACGTGTCATTCTAGTCAACATGCAAACGTACACTCATTTGCTCTTTTTAAACATCCCTGTCTTTACCGCAGTTCTCCCGCTGCCACCCCATTTCTTTGTTCCTCTTTTTTTTTTTTTGTGACCAGTAAGGGGATCACAACCCTTGGCTTGGTGTCGCCTGCACCGCACTCAGCCAGTGAGTGCACCAGCCATCCCTATATGGGATCCGAACCCACGGCGGGAGCGCCACTGCACTCCCAGCGCCGCACTCACCCGAGTGAGCCATGGGGTCGGCCCCTTTGTTCCTCTTTTTAGCAAAACATATAAAAAAGTTTTCTATTTCCAATTCCTTTCTTTGGTCAGGACTTTGCTTTCCATATGGCCAGGGGTCAACATTCACATTGCACTCCAGGGGGTGGGACTCATTTAAAATATAACATAAGTGGTTTCCCTGGAGTTGGCACCAGTCTCTCAAACCAACTTCAATCAGGCGTTTGCCCTGACTGCTCCCCTCTTTTCAAGGTCACCACTGTCTTTCATGTGACCAACTAATGTTTCTTCTCAGAGCTCATCTTTCTTGACCTATCAGCAGCACTTGACACAGTTGATTACTCCGTTCTCTTTGGAATGCTGTCACCTCTTGGCTTTAGGACACCACACTCTCCTGAGTTTACTCTTCTTATGCTTGTTCCTTCTTACTTTGCTGACCTCTAAACATTGGTGTGCCCAGCACTCATTCCTCAGACCTTGTCTACACACACTCCCTTGGTGATCTTATCTGGTCTCATTGTCTAAAAGTCAACCCGCTGATGACTCCCAAATCTGGCTCATATGTTTTCCCTAAACTCCAGCCTCATATATTTAACTGCCTGCTTGACATGCCCTCTTGAATGTCAGTAGGTCTATCAAAATCAACATCTTCAAAACCAAATGTTGTTCTTTTGCACCAAACCTGATTCTTCTGAAGTCTTCCACTTCTGATGGAACTTACTTCCAACAGTTGCCCAGGAAAAAAACAAAAAACTTGACATCAGCTTTGATTCCTCTCTTTCACACCTGTATGTAATCTGTTAGCAAGTCCTCTTAATTCTACCTTTAAAGGATATACAGTATCTATTTCTCCCCATTTTCACTGTCACTATCCCAGTCAATGCCACCATCAGCTCCCACTTGTCTCCTTGCTTTTGCTCTTGTCTACCACCCCCCCCCACCCTTGCTCTATAGTCTTTTCTCAACATAGGAACCAAAATGAACCTTTAAAAATATGTCAGACGACGCCATCTCTGTGTTCCAAACTTTCCAAAGGCTTCCTGACTCATTCATTGTAAAAGTCAAAGTTTATATAATGTTCACAAGACCTTACATGACTGGGCAAGTGTCCCTTTCCTCTCTGATGTCATCTCTGCTGTCCTCTTCCTTCCTCACTCTGCTCCAGCCCTACTGATCTCTCTGCTATTCCTCTAACACTCTGGCCTGCTCTGCCTACCCCAGGACATTTGCATTTCCCTTGGTCTGGAATTCTCTGTTTACTGACATCCACGTGGCTAACTCTATTGCCTCCTTCCACTTTAGGTCTTTGTCGTGATGCTCTTTTTTTCAGTGAGTCCTTCCCTAACCTCACCCTATTTAGAACTTGCCCCCCAAGCACTCTCTATGCCTTTCTTCCTGCTTTATTTCTCACCACAGTCTTTAAGGAACATCTGACATATTTTATCTATCTGTCTATCTGCTTGTTGATTTACTGTCTTTCTTTTCCTATGAAAATGTAAATTCCATGAAGGCAGGGAAGGATATTGTTTTCTTTATAGTGTCGAGAATGGTGCCTAGCTTATAATAGTCACTTAATAAATATTTTTTGAAAAATATGAATGTAGAGTCAATATTCATTTTAAAAAGGTGATATTAGACTAATTTAGAGAAGCCCAAGGGAATCATGAGTTTTGAGGCAAATTTAGTGACTTGATCCAAATAAAAAGTGTTTTTCTAACAAAATGGTTTTCTCACAGAGTGCTTGTAGAAATTCACATTTTAGGAATCTATACTCTTGGTTTACAACTTTGTATTATGTGAGTGGGTAGTCTTTCTTTTGATATATTTGTACACATACCTGTGTCTTTCACCTACTTCTGTAGACATGAATGCTACAATACGAAGGATTGACCAGTTAACCAACATCTTGGCCCCCATGGCTGTTGGCCAGATTATGACGTTTGGCTCCCCAGTTATTGGCTGTGGTTTCATTTCGGGATGGAACTTGGTGTCCATGTGTGTGGAATACTTTCTGCTCTGGAAGGTTTACCAGAAAACCCCTGCTCTAGCTGTGAAAGCTGCTCTTAAAGTGGAGGAAGCTGAACTGAAACAGCTGAATTTACACAAAGGTAAACCGAACGTAACAATCAATCCTTTTGCTCTGATGTTCAGACCTTCAACGCTGATGAAGATCAAAACGATTTTGAATTTATATTGGGTTTCATTACCAGTGAACTCCTGGATGAGGTTAAATATATCACTTTGGTAGGTGAGGCAAAACCAGGTTTTAGAGGATCCGGGGAACAACTCTGGGTTGAACTTGCTGTGGTTGGAATGGGACCCCGGCCCTTTTCCTTGGTGTGAGCAGTAGGCACAGAGGGGCAATTAATTGAGGGATGGCTGGGCAAAGCTGAGTCGTAAGAATGGGAAGAACAGTGGCGAAAATAGAGAACAAGAGTATATGTAGAAAGGAGTTACATGGACACTTGTGGGACAGTGGAAGGGAGTGAGGACGTGAAGACGGGCATTTCCCAAGAGAAGAATAAGTTGGGCTTCTGGGTAAATGGAATCTTAATAAGGCCCCAGAAAATAGGATGCTGTGTTTTCCCAGACAATTTTTATATTTTATGTGATGAGTTTTTCTGCTATTTACTTTGGTGGGAGTAGAATTTCTAAGAGAAAGGAGAGGAAAAAGAAAAGAGAGAAATAGATGAGTAGTATTTTGTTTAACAAAAATGGTACTTGGAGATTGTTCCTTGGCTAGAATTCTTAGATTATTAGTAAAAGAAAATACATATAGTATTTTGGTTAATGTAGTAACCAAGGATACTAATGGGGGAGGGGAATAAAAGAAGAAAAAATACTAAGTAAGATAATTGGCTTTTCCCCCTACTGCCCTCCCCCCCAAATAATAATATCTCTTATTAACAGATACTGAGCCAAAACCCCTGGAGGGAACTTGTCTAATGGGTGAGAAAGATCCTGACATCCATGAGCTTGAACATGAGCAAGAGCCCACCTGTGCCTCCCAGATGGCTGAGCCCTTCCGCACCTTCCGAGATGGATGGGTCTCCTACTACAACCAGCCAGTTTTTCTGGCTGGCATGGGTCTTGCTTTTCTTTATATGACTGTCCTGGGCTTCGACTGTATCACCACAGGCTATGCCTACACTCAGGGACTGAGTGGTTCCATCCTCAGTATTTTGATGGGAGCATCAGCTATAACTGGAATAATGGGAACTGTGGCTTTTACTTGGCTACGTAGAAATTGTGGCCTGGTTCGGACTGGTCTGATCTCAGGATGGGCACAGGTTTCCTGTTTGATCTTGTGTGTGATCTCGGTGTTCATGCCTGGAAGCCCCCTGGACTTGTCTGTTTCACCTTTTGAAGATATCCGTTCTAGGTTCATTCCAGGAGAGCCGATTACACCTACCATAATACCTGCAACCATCATCACAACTGAAATGCACATGCCAAACGGGTCTAATCCTGCTACTATTGTCCCGGAGGCAAGTCCCAAATCTGTGCCCATAGTCTCCGTCAGCCTGCTATTTGCAGGCGTCATTGCTGCTAGAATTGGTAAGAAATCTCTTCTTGTATATCAATGAACTAAAGTGTCTTTTTGGAATGTGGATACAGATAATTCACCAACAAATGATCTGCAATATGCCTTATTTATCTTTATGTATATAATCCAGTCTTCAATTATGACATTTTTATTTTATAGTTTAAAAACTGTATTTGTGTGTGTGTGTGTGTATGTGCATGTACTCAAAACATCTTTAGGGCTTGAAAATTTTTTCTAAATGAGTATCTTAAGTATTACTCTTTTAATGTAATTTAATTTTTAGAAGATACTAGATATCTAGTAATTTAGTAATTACTAGTAATTTAAAGTCTTTATAGTGCTATAATTAACTATAATTTAGGAATATTTCTATGGTACAACATAAGATAGTGCTTTATTTATTTTTTTAAAAAGACAGGTTAATTAGAAAAAAAAAATTCTTCAAAGGTCCTATCTAGTTGAGGTGTATTTATTATATGCTTTGCCACACGAATGGATTTTATAGCTCTGGAAGGAAACATAATGTAAAGACTTCTTACAAAGCCAAATTTAAGTAATCATTAATAGAGTACTGATGATTTATCTCTGACCGAATTCATTCTTGAAACCATATTTATCTGGTAATAAAAAGCAGTTCATTAATTTATCAAAGACATTAGTATTCAAGCAAGACAGTTTTATTGTAAGGGCTTTCAAACCCAAGCAGTAAATGAAACAATGGTTTAAGGTTTCCTTATACTTTAACCATTACCATGTCATTTAAATTTTAAAAATACTAGTACTTACAGGATTTGTTATGTCTCTGATTTCAGAGTTTTGCTTTTGTAGTATGAAAAATCACAGACAAACAGAACTAAAAAGTTTGTAGATCAGACTTACTGTCTGTGGCTATAAAAATCATTTCTCAAAGCCACTAATAACCCAACATTTATTAATTAAAAATAATTCTTTAAGGCAAGGCTGTGATAAATATATAAAGTGACAAAGGTATTAAAGCTAAAATGCGTATTTTGCATATGTCAGCAGATTTTTAGATATAAATCTGACATGTATGGCTATAAATTAAAATCCAATCTTAAAAAAAATCTTTTATTATAGGTCTTTGGTCCTTTGATTTAACTGTGACACAGTTGCTGCAAGAAAATGTAATTGAATCTGAAAGAGGCATTATAAATGGTGTACAGAACTCCATGAACTATCTTCTTGATCTTCTGCATTTCATCATGGTCATCCTGGCTCCAAATCCCGAAGCTTTTGGCTTGCTCGTATTGATTTCTGTCTCCTTTGTGGCAATGGGCCACATTATGTATTTTCGATTTGCCCAGAAAACTCTGGGCAGCCAGCTCTTCATTTGTTGTCCTGATGAAAAAGAAGTCACCAACGAAAATCAAACTGATACATCTGTTGTCTAAGACAGTTTAACTATTGCTGTCCCTGTTAATAGATTGTATAGAGCACATGTGCTTATTTTGTACTGCAGAACTCCAATAAATGGCTGGGTGTTTCTCTCTTTTTTTACCACAGCTATGCCTTGAGGGCTAAAAGCTATTTAGGAAACCTAAGTCAGCAGAAATGAGCTGGTTAATTTCACTTACATTTAGCAATGGGAAAAAAATATATAGAAAAAGAAAAACAGTTTAAATATGGAGACTGTAATGATAACACTGATTTCCCCTGTGTTTCATGAGTAGATAAAATTTTACGTCAGAGTGGTTAGTCATGTGAATTAAGTTATTCTTTGGCAGATATTTATTATCTGTACTAGAATTCAGATATGTCAATTTTCCCTAAAACTCACTCTTATTTGAGTCTGGTTAATCTACTTTATTTGTATCTTATTCTCAGATTTATTATAAAAATAAATTCTCCAGATATGAAGATTAAAGTTTGATAACCATTATTATCTTATTGATCCAACTGAAGGGATTTACATAAATGTGGAAAAAATAAGGTTCATGGTTCAACTTCAGAGAGCACCGTTGCATTTTTATTATCAGGGTAGGGCAAAATATTGTATTAAGCATGTGTAGCAATTCATAAAATGACTATCATGTAAGCTTCAGGTAGACGCAAAGCTGCAAAGTAGATTTATAACACAGTGAATACATAAAGATTTCAAATATGTCAGTAGTTTGGCCATAGAAACTAGAAGCTAAAAGCCACACAGAAGGATGAGATCCTAATTATACTCACGCCACTATCATTAATGATCTCTATCTTAGAATATGAGGGAGTAAGCCTTTAGCCTGGCTAGTTATGTGTAGAAAGAAAACCTACACTTGGAAAGGTTTTGTTGTAGAAATCATTTGATTTACTTTTCACCCACTCGGGTAGAACACTTTTGTTTTATGCCCAGGAGTTATCTCTGCATTGTTCTAGAGCAAGAATACTCATAAAAGTACCCCTTTCGAATGTCTTTGAGAAGGATAGAGGGAAAAAAAAAGTTTGTATATATTTTTAAAAACTGTTTTACAAGTCAGTTTGCAACATGCCAGTACCAACATGGTCCTTTGCCTTAACCGTTCATGCACTTTCTTGGAGACTGCAATATGTTGCTATGAGCACTTTCTTTATCCTTGAGGTTTAATCTTTTTCATCTTTCTACAGTATGATAATGATTTGCTATGTTGTAAAATCTTTGTAAAATATTTCTATATAAAAATATTTTTAAAATCTTCATTTCTTTTTCCTGAATTGTGTTCCCTGGTTAGTTAATATTGCTTTTGTTACAAAACATCTATTTCGGATGATGTGTTTTTCTCTATAAGGGGCTACAGTTTCATAACATACATTTTAATGTTATCTCCCTATTCATATTTCCATTTTATGGTGGTCTGGATAAATGTGTAGTAAACATGAGGCCCAGCACTTTTTCTTTGACATTGAATAAGTCACACTAAGCTCTGTTAAGTTCTTAGTTCCCTTATATAAGTTGGAGATACTGTAATACCAACCTTACCCATCTCAAAACTTCCCTGATTGAATCAGATGAGAAGCCATGTGGGAGCACTTTGTGAACAAGACGAGGTACTATTATCACTAGAGGTTAGACTTAAATAATGAGGGGAGTCTAGGATAGATGCCTACTGATACTCCAGAGAGTGGAGCCATGTTTTATATTCAGCAAACATTTATTGAAGACTTGATCTATGCCCCAAACTGTGATTAGTCCTAGGGATGCAGATTTGACTCAGATATAGTTGATCAGAGACTCTTTTCCTTTCCCTTAAAATTGGGAGCTTGAGGACTTTTGGCATCACCCCGTAGCTGCTGATCTGCTCATGATGTTTGTGCAGTCTAGATGCCTCTGGTAGGTTTGGCTGCTGTCTTGAACAGATCATCGGCTCCCTCCCACAAGGCTTGAGCTGAGGTTGGAGATCTGCCCTGAGTGTTTGCAGCTGTAACTGAAGGC